TACTCATGTAATAGGATAGAAGATTGGCTTTCACGCTCTAAATTAATCATTCAGGCCATTATTACTCAAAAGAGCTCTGCTATATAGGAAGCTTTAGGAGTTTTTAGCAACTTATAATCACTTATTTCGTTTCATTAACAGCACTTATTCCTAGATTTCTGGAATTTGAAAATAAGCCGTGTCTAGACTTTCCGCTGAACTTACAGCCATTTCGAGTAATTGTGCGGTGAATAGATTCGGAGGTTTTTCTTACCGAAAAAAGCCAAATCTCAGTTGCTTTTATTGGAAAATCCGGTTGACGCTGTTTCCAAGGCAATACTTTTCGATTTTAATAAAAATGTGCTAAGCTTCCGACTTTTAATTGATGAAAATAATCTGAGCAGCCATATCCAAGCTAATTACTCTTCTTGACTAGTTACCGTGAATACATTTGTAACAATGATGCCCTGCTTTAATGAGGTCATCCATGTGACAGACTAAAGGTAGGAAATTTTCACCGAAATTCAAAGAGATTGCCGCGGGGACAGCGTCAACCAGAGTGATCCTGCAAAAGCAGCCGTCAAATGATCATTGGGAATCCGACGTCATCTTCCGATGAGATCGATCTTCAAACCTCTTCATCACAAACCTTTACTCAAAATGGTGATTAGTTCAAAAAAATTAAACTAAGATAGACTTCGAAATCTAGCTTTGCTTTACATGACTAGAATTTCTGACAATAACTATGTTTTGAAAGCTTTTAGAATGTTTTTGTCGACTACTATATGCTTAATGTTGGAGATTATTTGTTTTAACTGGTAAATGGATATCCTTTTTTAACTTGAGCCTCAATCGTAATAATTACCACAACACTTAATGTGTTAAAGAGGGAATTTGTAGAAAACCTTTCTGAGTCAATCATTGAATGAGCCTTATACTCTTAATGATGTAATTAAAATGCCCTTAAATGCCTTCGTGTAGTCAAAGGTTCCCTTTTTTAAGATTATTACTAGTCCAAGCTTGCGTTGGCATGGAGAAGATTTCCTCCTCTTGGCCGTCAAGCCGAATTTTTTTAAATTTACGTCAATCAGATGAATATTAATTTCATTACAATTTTCCCTCTTTTCACAGGAGATGGTGGGCGCTTGTCATGTTCTCCAGCAGATTCAGGAAAACGAACAAGAGCGTTTGCTTGCACTGGAGCGAGAAGAACAGGAGCAGGCTCTGGCTCGACAAAAGATGGTGGAAATGATGAAGGACGAGTTGGCGAAGCGAGCTGATAAAAGGTCGAAGCAAGAGATTCTCCGGGCAGAATTGAATGAGGCTAATAACTTGATAATGGAGCGACGAAAGCGGGAGAATCAACTTGAAATACTTAATGATATGAAGATTTTAGAAATTCAAAAGCTAAAAGCAGTGAGCTCTATTAGACTTTCTATTTTTGCTGCCGTCATGAGTTCAAATAACGATTTTTTTTCACTTTTTGTTTGACCTTGCTTTAGCAATTTGGTCATATTGACAGGAAGACCTAGAGGAACGCACCTCGTCCGGAGTCCATAATATGCATGCTACTTTCCATACTATTGACTCTGGACATATTGCCTTCCTCCAGGTCCCTCTGCCAATATAAACAAGTTGCTGAAACAAGGTCAAACTATTATTATACAACGAGGGGAAACCGTGACCATACTAAATTCCACACCATCTTGGTCTTCATACCTACGATTAAACAAATTTTTGTCTGAAAAAAAAAGACATTATGTTTATCAAAGTATTCCATTATCGAGTCTTAGGGATAAAATGTTTGTCCAGTCTTATTTTTTATTTCAAAATTTGTTTTCTAGTATCCCGATTCATGTTTTCTTGTTTGTCTATAAAGTTCCAAATATTATATTTTTTTCGATGATATTTTTAGTAACTCTTTACTTAATTGCATATGGCTTGAGAACAAATTAGACTTCATTTTTTCATTCCTAAAATAAATTGATGCAAAAATCCGCTATAGAAGTTTTTATAATACAGGCATGGAATAGCTTTGAATCTAGTTCGCTAACGAAAAAGGATTTTATATTTTGTGTGTCACTTTAATATCTAATTCGAGGG